AAATAAATAGGTAATGTTTATCTATGCACAGAGAAAAATACTGAAAGTATACCAGAATACCAACAGTGATTATCTCTAGAAGATATAACCCTGCCAAGATTTAGAACCCAGCTAAATTCTACCTTTTCTGGAAAGTCTCCCTAAGGTCTCATAATCAGCAGAAACCCTCTCCTCTCCAACATTACCATAGCACTTGGATGTAGGTGACATTAAACAGTCTGCTCTGAAACAAATGCTTAAATGAAGGTCTTTATTCTCCACTCTAAAGTGAACATCTGGGCATAGTGATCTTTTCATCTTTTTTCCCAAAGCAATACCTGTTTGAGATCTAGTAACCAGTCGTTGAGTTTATATACTCTTAAGATATTAGAAAACATGCTGCACCTAATATAAAATGTAATTTAATTAATCTGCAAACCTTTTGATTGAAGAATTGTTGGAGAATGTTGTAGGAAGTCTCCAAATTTCTGTAGTGTTCCTTCTTTTTTCTTAGCTGCCATGTTTACACTAATTGTGGATGCCTGACTTCGTAAAGAATATGTTGTCTTAGAAGATGGACGCGTGGAAACCTAATAAACAAACATTTTTGTTACTGTTAACGAGAAATGTTAGAAGGAAATACTTTCTGACACAGTTGAGTTAGAGACCTGAGGCAGGCTGTGAGTTCCCAGGCAGGGGAAGTGTGACTAAGCACACGAGGAAGGGGTTGAAGGGGATGAAATGGCAAAGCTGTAATAGGGTGGACCCAAAAAAGGGGAGGTTGGCTCACCCAGGAGGGTGGAGCTGAACAGAAAAGAGAAGAATCTGGAGAGGAGAGTGAAGGAAGCAGGATGAAGAGCCAGAAGGAGACCTGAGGAAGCCACATGGAGCAGAGACGTGTGAAGAAACCATGCTTGCTTCCTGGTCCTAGACTGGTTGAAACAGTCCCATGGGGAGGTGACTATGGCAGTGTTTATTTTGATTTTGCTCTTTTCCTTCCAGACTTGTCTGGCCATTTCTGACACTTTTTGATGGGACCCGGCCAGAAGGTGCTTTAGGCTTTAGGCTTGTGGTGGGGTTTCAGGCCTCGCTTTGGGCCAATTCCTTTTGGGTGGTCTTTTGCCCCGAGGGGACAGGTAACTTCAGGTGTTTGACTTAGAAACCATATTCTTTGTCTTTTCTGTATTTCATATTCATTGTATTAAAGTTCCTTTCCATTAAAGCTCTTATGTCTCGTCTTGATGCGGCAGAACCTATTTAGAGCAGGCATGTTTGCGGGTACAGGGGTGCCCCTCTCTCCATGCCCTGTAACAAAATGAATGTGACAGGTGGAGTCCTGTCAGTTGTCAGCAGTGAACACATCAGCTACTGGCCAAATGCTAAAGGTTTAATTTCATTAAGCTGAGTCACATCAGTAGGAAATGGAAAATAAGTTATAACTGGTCAGAACTGGATTTCTGGGTCATTCGTAATTGAAGCTGATATCTTTATTTTCATCTTCAACTTCTAAATATGTCGCAAAAGAGGTTAATTTTAGTCATATATTAGAAGACAAACCTTTTGTTCCTTTTTGAGAGAAGAATTTCCATGTTCAGGAATAGGGGATTTCAAATTAGTTCTGGGTGTAGCATTCTTCTTATTTTCACACTTCACCAAATCCTAAGAGTAATGAATTTTAGCACTGGTTAATGACAGTATTTTTTCTCTAGACTTAAAATGATGGTTCTTAACTGGGATGATTTTAGCCCTAGAAAACAATGTTTGGTTGTCATTGCTGGGTAGAAAGGGGTATTATTTGCAACTGTGTGGGCGGGGGATAAAGGCCAGTAATGCTGTTAAATACCCCCACAGTGCTCAGGAAAAGCCTTCCAAAAAATAAAGTATCAAGTTGAAAAACCCTAACTGAAGATATAAATTCCATTCCCGCTCCCAGTTTTATTCAAATGTTACTGACATGTAACATATGTGAAGTTTAAGGCATACAACATGATGATTTAATGTATATACACAGCGAAATAACTGCGAGATTTTTATACACAACTCATGAAATTACATGAGCTAGATGAAAAAACTGAAGGGATAGTATATTACTGGAATCCCACCTTTGAAATGCAGCACAGCCCTCTACCTACACTGCTACCTAACTACAGAGTTAGCGACCAGGGGAGGAAGGCAGTGAGCAAAGGGAGGCAGGACCCTCGGTGGACTACAGTGGAGGACTGTGGGTGCTGTGCTGGTGGCGGGTGTCATACACACCTGAAGAGATGTATATGTTATACACAGTGCTGTAACACAAGGCTACCTCAAAAATACATTTAAAAAAGCAAAGTTCTTCAGTATAAGCATAGGTAAAATGTGAAAATTAAGAAATGTAGTCTTACTTCCCAACTACAGAAGCATGACATTTTTCTTCTCTTCCCCATAACTACACTTAGGACAAAATTTTTGCAGTTTTATAGGTATATTCATTGGAATAAACTGGCAAAGATCCTAGTTGTACCACAGATTAAAAGCATAGAGGAAAAAAGGCAAGAAGAGCAGCAGGGAAGAGATTATAGCTGACCCTCAAATTACACATAAGTCATAAGGGCCTGAAGAAGCAGGCTTTCTGAAAGGGGAAACACAGATGGTAATCATGGAAAGCAAATGGAGAAAAATTAAAGCTCTCACACTTGCAGTAAGGGGCAATTTGGAGTGTTCAGTGATTAGCAAATAGTACCATATACATGAAATTTATAAAGACTTTACAACACTCAGATTACTATAGGAGAAAAGAGCTAGCAAAATCAGTTAAAAATTTTAAGTTTCTATATGACTAATCTACAATAATCTATTCTTAGGTATACCTGAGAAGTATATACCAAGAGCAAATTTATATTTTAAATATGAATACACAACCTGAGTACACAACCAGTTTTTCCTTTTCCCTTTAAAAAATGAATCAAGGTAAAGTCAACATCATAGATGGTGAAATTAAAATACTTAATATTCTAATGGCATCTAATTATATTTAACTACAATTAAGATATAGGATAAAAGATAACTAAAAATCTCTTGGCCCTCCCTGGTGGCGCAGCGGGTTAAAGCACAGCATTAAGAGGCTAAAGCTACTTCCACATGAGTTCGATTCCAGCCGGCGCCGAAGGTGACCACATGGCGCGGCAGACCTCTCCTGACCTGCCCGCTGTTCCACTCAGCAGTGTACTTCGTCAATTTGCCTATTCTGCTCCGCACTCTGTCTCTGGCGAAACCTCTTGCCTCCCCTGAGCCTCTGGCCTGTACCCCAGTTCTGTATGCATAAATAAATACTTAAAAAAAAAACAAAAACTAAAAATCTCAAAAGCTATTCTATGTATGATAGGCAATATCCTAAATAATATTCATTCAGCAAATTTATTACCTGACTGAGAGTCTCAGATGTATGGTTAATACTATTTTTGCTCTTCCACCAGCTTGAAAATATACTACTCTTTTAAAGTAAAAGAAAAGAAAAGTTGGAGAAGTTATAACATTGATTTATAATTAGCTTAAACTTTAAAATCAGTTACTTTTAAAACAAATATTCCCATTTGTTATGCATCTATCACATTGAAAAAAAGGCTACGTATTTAAAAAATAACACCTCCAAATTCTTTATTAATGAAAGGAAGAAAATGAAGATCAGAAAGTTTTGTGACTACATAGCTAAGATGTGGTAGGTTTGGTGGACCTACAATTAGAAAGCTGCAAGAAGAAATGAATATTGTTTAGTCTACCACTAAAAAGAGGCCTTGGGCCCTCCCTGGTGGTGCAGTGGGTTTTAAGCTCAGCACTATGAAGCTATCTGCAGCCACTGCAGCCACAAGTTCGATTCCCAACCAGAGAGCTGACTCACATGGGGCAGCAGACCTTTCCTGTCTTCCTGCTGCTCCCCTCAGCAGTGTATTTCA